TACTAATTTAGTAATTAATATAAATCTTGACTAATAAATAGATTCTAAAATAAGAATATCCATTAAGAAATTCCCTATATAAACTAATGTAAATATCCAATTAGAGGCACAATTTAACTATCAATATTTTTTTTTTTATTTTATGAATTATTTCTCTTGATTTATTATTTTCCGGTCATTCGTATATGAATATAAATAGCTTTAAATATGTCCAATATATTTTATCCATGGAGGTCTATAGTCGGGCGCCCGACTTGGGCGTTCGTCCATTTTTTTCGAAAATTTTAGGGGTTTTAGAGAGATAAACACTTTTTTGTTTTGAACGGTAAATAGCACTTTTTAAACCGTAAAGAGCATTTTCTTTTTAAAATCAAATGTTTACTGAAAAAGAAAAAAGTAAAGGGGGCCAATGTATGATTTCAGTGAAGTAAAGGGCCCTTTGGTTTGAAAATGTGGCTCAAAATAAATTAATAAATAAATACTTCTGATTTTTCATTTTTTTTTTCCTTTGCATGACATAAGCAAAAACCTATTAAAACACATAAGATTGAAGCTACAAACACAAAATTTATATATCAGCTGAAAATTCCTAAAACAATGGATTTTAACCTTGGATATCACAAAGCAAAAATACGTTTTCGCCCTTGCAAAAAAAAAACCCGAAAACACAGAAAACAAGGAGCACTTTCTTGTTCAAAGTTTACTAACTCTGCAAAATCCGGGTATCAAGAGAGCAAATGAAAAGAAAAAAATGGCCAAATACAGCCGTACGTTCGAGTATTTCGAAACCTAAGAAAATAATTTAATGCCGTACAAAAATAAACGAGATGACTAAGTTCATACCATAGCCTAAATTAATAGAGAATGGATCAAGTCAAGATGAGGCCATGATATACTCGTTTTTTTTTTTTTTTTTTTTTTTTGTTATGCTAGCTAATTCAAGATAAATCGATTTCTGTATGTTTGGAATTTAGGGCTTCGTTGCATCATATGGGAATTGCAGTAACTTCCGTTTGCTTCAAGAATGTTCCGGACTCTTCCTTGCTTGCAAGATTCTCTCCATCATTTGTCGAGACATTTGTTTCGCAGGCATCATTGTCATCCACATTTATGATTTCAGGTGCAGGATTTTTATCGACACTGCAATCTTCACTCTTTGATCTGTTAACAGAAAACGTTCGCCATTATTAGACTACCATTAAGAAACTTACTTACGACTACCATTGAAATTTCAATTTTTTCGGGGAAAAAAAAGAAAGGATAAAAAAACCAACCTTTTAGATGATGAGGTGGCATTTTCTTTTCTTGACGAGACCGCTTTCCTTTTTGCGGGTTTTTCCCGAGTCCTGGTCGAGTTCATGAAACACATCAATTTACGTTTCATTTGTTGAATTAAAACCAATTATGTCTCGAAAGATACAAAATTGACCGAAGAATTATTCACACGTAAAAAAAGTATACGTAGAATATTTTTTAAATTAAACTTACTTGATACTCTCTTTGGGAAGAGATGGGCCGTCAGCTTCTTGTTTCTGAAATATTTCGTAACACAAGTACACATATAAATAAAAGTTAACACCAAAAAAGACATACAGAAGAGAAAAATACCACAAAGAATCGACAGCATCTTACTTGTGTATTCGGCTCGACAAAAAGTTCCCATGTTTCTTTTCTGAGGTTCAATGTTTCGGTTTCATCGTCATCATACAGAATCTGCAAGTAAAGTAGCAGCATAATTGAAAAATAGAGGATAAATGAAGATAATTAAAAAGAATGAACAAACAAGAATAAAGCATCTAAGTACCGTGTGCTTCTTCGTCACAGGATCGAAATCCTTGACAGTGCCGGTATAGAACCTGCATATAAAGCACCTTCGAATATGAGACGAAAAAGTATGCTATTTTCACGCAAAGCGTAATTAATAAAATCTTTAATTACCAAAAGTAAGACAGCGTTCTAATTAATACAGAAAGCTTATTCATCCACTTTGAACCATGATTTCGAACATATCATAAATGGAAATAAAAAGGCTAATTAGTAAGCATCATCAACAGTCAGGCATACATGCAGAATCATTTATTTCCGGAACAGAGATGACAATGTAACAAAATAAATTATAGATAAACAAACTAGCAATAATGAGATACGTAATTACTTACGTTTCGTCCATCGGCCACCAGACCTGTATCCTTAAATTAACCAACTCCTCTCCGCAAGCAACTCGGGGTCTTCTTGACTTCTGAATTCAAAGCATTTATTCCAAAATAAATGTTAAAATACGCATCTCAAAAGATTACACTTATAATATCCATATTATTGTGCATTTTGTATTTTACGTGACTAAAAAAATGAAATCTTCCGAATTCCATCGATTCCAATTCCCGAATTTCCGACTTGCACTTTTTCTGATAATTTTTTTGGAACAGAATCTAATTAGTTTTTCACTTCCGAAAAAAAAATTATTTTTTTTCAAAAAGTGCTAATTCCGATCCGACCGATTTTCACACCTGCAAAAGATAGTTCAAATTTACACCATATATAACAACAATAGGATGGCACCTTTTCCTTGTCATTTTTGCTCGGGCCTTTGGCTTTTGCAGGCTTAGACATCGAAAACTCCTCCATCTGCAATTCCCCCAAAAAAAGAAAAAAAAATTAGAAGTCGAAGAACTAGAGACAGAAGCCATCAAAACAAATATCAATCAAAGACATTCGTTTGATTACATTGTTTTCTTTCCTCCCATTTTGTTCTTGAGATAACTCGTATTTGCCTCCTTCTTTCTCCACTCCATTACTACTAGATCCAGCAATAGCCCCGTTACCTATCTTCTTTTGACTATTTTGACCTTTCTCCACTTTACTCTGCGAAATTTTCCTTTTCAACGCTGACGAAAATTCAACATCATTGTCCTTACTCTTCTTCTTCTTTGGCTGATCCCTTTTCAGAATACTTCCTTCACTAAAAGAATCATTTCTCTTCTCCGAAGAATTACTTAGGATGCCATCAGACGACAAGTCAGCGGACTTGCCACCTGTCATCCAAGATCCTTTATATCCCTCCTCCGGTCTTATCAGAGAATTGGGTTTTCTGCCCCTTCTCCTTCGACCTATATTGTCCTTTATTTTCTCCGATGACTTTTCATTGTCGGATTCTGTTGCTTCACTGTCGTTATTCGCTTGAGCATCGGAATCTTCATTAATAGCATTGGGAACTTCGTCTGATGGGGACGCCACGTCACCAACAGTTGGTGCAACTTCTTCCGACACCTGATTTCACAAAACAAATGATAATGGAGAAAGAATTAGTTTTTAATTGCTTAGCTATTCTGGATAAATATAGCATAACACATACTGCAAAATAACTTTGGAATAGTATGTTTCGGTCTGTAGTCGTAATTCATTTAAACAGGAAATTGTTAGCTCTAAAGTAATATTGTTATGGTAAGAAAATGTTACATTTTATTTCGACTGAGTTAAAAAAAATATCCTCGTAAAAGAAACCGACTTTCAAGATTAGAAATACCCCCATGACGTATAAAAGTAACTAAATGTTGTGAATCGTGACATCATCGGGATCTTGAATATTCAACATTGAAAAGATTAAACTAATCTACACGACATTAAGTCGCCTAATAAAGATTTACACGAAAAATCCGTTATTAGATTAGCTTACCTTGACATAACACACAATACATGATAAAAGTTATATTGCCATCATTCGCATGCATTAAAAGGGAATATACTCTTCTCATTGAATAAAGTAGCTTGTTCATTTAAAATGCAAAGTACGTGTTCTCGTATATTAGGAAAGTTAGCTATATTGTCCGAAAATTTCATGCAACATATTTATAACAAGATTAAATCATCAAATATCATTCAAGCAATTAAAAGCACAAAGTATCTATTTTTTTTCTCGAAGTTTTTTTAATCCAACACAATATTTTAGCTGTTAGAGAGGTCTGTCGTTTAATGTTCAATAATTATAAGACATCCCTTTGGACGAGATTCGAATCTCAATTGGCACCTATTTATGAAAAAGTTTCACATGCAACATTAAAAGGTTATTTACTCTCTAACCGAGTAACCTTGTAGATGAAGTAGCTGGTAATAAGACTTCCATTAGCTGTTTTATCTGTTAGTATATTGTTGTGGCCCATAAATATTAATCGATATACAAGTATTTAGGCTTCGATTTCATTGACCGATGACTTTGTCTTATAATGCTTAGCGAGCTCGGTTAATGACGAAACACTTGATGAATACGGAAAGATGTTTTATAATGTTTGATAAAGTCTTGTAACGAATACTTAATACCATATGTAACTAACAGCTAATACTTTTCAAAGAAGAATATTATAGCATCAATAAGTTCGTTCAACTCATTCACGCTTATATAAATAGCACATCATAATTAAGTTAAGCACAGAATAAAACATTGATCGTCTATCATCCAAATATTCATTATCCGACAAACTGAAAAAGAATGGCTCAAACAGATTCAGTTTTAAATAAACAGAAATCAATGGAACCTAACACAAATCAATTCAGAATTAATATAAGAGAGAACGCTTAAAAGAACGAACCATGTTTCTCCCAAGTGATGCATCGTGGATTATCGAACCAACTATTTCAGCATAATCCTCGATTTTCAGATTCATTGTCCTCACTGCTTCTCTAAGACAACGATGGAGTTTGGCCGCACAATTTTCGAAGATTTTCTTCCCTAACTCCCATGAAATAGGTGAACCATCCTGAAATACAAAATACGAAATAAAACGAGAATATATCACAGACGAGTGATGTATTATCTATCACAAGAGATTAAAGAAGAGAATCATTACCTTGTTTTCCATTTTCACACTAGCTAGAAGGGGAATCAAAAGGTCGTTCGAGATTGAGTCGCTTTCTTGTATCACCATAGTCATTATCATTTCCATGTACTGGAACACATCGAAAGGGTGACTGGACCTTCAATGCAATTAAAAATCTCATTTAATTAATACACATTACATCGAAAGAAGAAAAAGAAATTGATGTTGTACTTGAATTATTTACCTAATGTTATCGAGAAAAAGTTGGACCATCTCTACAATGAGAGAACCATCTGTATCTATGTCCAGCAACATAAGCGACGATCTCACCTTCGCCATAGTTTCGAGAATTTTCAAAGCCCTAGAGAAGTTGGGACCGGTCTCGCATGGCAACTGCTTAAATGCAATCATATATAACCGAAAGAATACCTGTTCAAAAGCAACCACATAGCACTATGGTGTAAGAGGGGCAGATACTTATCTAATTTATTAAATTAAATAAAAACAAAAATAACGGAGCATATCTGTGTACCAGCATTAGGTCATCATCATAAGGGGGGTCTGGAGCAGTAATTCTTGTGAGCTCGTTAAAACACGATGCGAGGGCAATTTGGACATTTAAATTTTGATGGCGCGACACTTCATCGGTCATGAGTGCCTTCATGAGAGGAAGAAGTGACCTACATGTTGACATAGGAGGCTTTTGCCATACCTGAGCTAAAAGTCTCTCTACTCTCTGAAAATACAAACAAGAAAACGAATTATATCTAACTAGCTCGAAAACAGGATACGGGGTAAAAAATAAAGAATCGGGTTTTATAGGCAAATCCCTCTTTTTCACATCAAATGAATTTTATGAAGCAATTTAAGTCGTCAAAAACTGACCAGCAGCGAAGAAAATGGGAATCGAAATGCATAATCAGCAAAACAAGGCTTTTGTATAATGCAGTGCAGTGCGTATACAACAGTATATACTCAAGTGGGTAATTAATGCAAAGAACAAAATAAGATTTGTTTCGATATATAAACCGACCTTAAAATCCTTGTTGTCAAAGAATAATTAAACCGAACTTAACATCCATCAATTTCACCAAAAGATAACCCATAAATCGTGATCAATATCAATAACCATAAACTACGTCAAAACCACACAATTCAACAATCGAGAACGCATAATTGTGATCAAAATTCAACCACAACACATAAGTTCCATTTTCAAGGAGATGGAGATTGAACCATCACAAACCCCGAACATACATGCACACACACACACACACACACACACACACACACACACACACAAACACACACAAAAGATTTATCAATACAGTAAATGGTAGTTTAAGAATGGCTCATTTCACACATCAGTGGTTTCAAATTTCAATTGCATGAATATCTAAATGAATGCGGAATTTGCACATAACAAACACAAAGATAGACAAGCAAAACAAACACATAACAAACACAGAGAGACAAGCTCCATAAAAAGATATATCAAAGACAAAATAATCAATCTTTTTTGATGTGCAGATCCTCAACAAAAATGTATGCACACAGCCACACACACACACACACACACACAAAATAAATAGCCATTTCAGACATATGTGACAAGAATTAGGCTACTTAGACATGGAAGACAATCATACAAAAAAAAAGGTAGAGCTTTATGAGTAAATCAAAATTGAGATTTAACATATCAAATAAGCATTTGCACAAATAGATGCCCTGCACACAAAAAACACACACACACACACACACATGTGTGTGTGTGTGTGTGTGTGTGTGTGTGTGTGTGTACACTGACCTCAACATGGGGGAGTAGGTCATCGGTTGATGAACGAAGCTTGAAAAGCCTATTCCCAGAATCAACCAACTCACCCTCAATCGCTTTCTGCGAAGATTCATCTCGCCTACCAGACCCCATTTCTATGATTATTCACCTGTTCAATTAATCAAAAACAACAACAACAACAAAAAAAATTAAAAATTTAAATAAATCAGAAACCCCAGAAAAATCACACCAAATAAAGAAAAAAAAATTGAAAATTCCCACCTTCCGCAGCGGAAGAGCAAGACGGCGACCTCAAAAAAACTGGTTTATGATGCAAATGCAGTTCAATTTTATGATTTTAAAACAAAAAAAAAAAAAATATTGAAAATTGAAAGCTCGGAAACAGACAATGGTGATGGTGTAATGGTGGAGCAAAAGAGGGGTGTGTTGCAAAATGTCGTGCATGCAGACCAGACAACAACCCCCTCTCTCTTAAACCTCCACCCCGGATTTTGCCTCACTCCATCAATTACTGCTCATTTTTGTTTTTCAAATCCGTGGATTCCCAGATTACAGATTTTTTTCCTTTTCTGCTTTTTTCCGTCAAACAAATACCAAATTGTGCGTGTTTGTGTGTGCGTGTGTGTGTGTGATTTAATGGGGGCAGATTAAATTCAAATTAAATTGTGTGAGAAAATCTAATAATTCCAGTAGGATTTTTGTTTCTGTGTTTATTAACATCTCTCTCTCTCTCTCTCTCTCTCTCTCTCTCTCTACCTTTTGGGGGTCTTCACTGCTGACTCAATGGACTTCAAATTTATTCCTTTTTTGGATACTGTGAAATGACCAAATTGCCCTTTGTCAATTTTTTTATTTTTTTATTATAGTGCTTTTGGATAATGATGGCATGTTAAATGTTATATCCTAGATTGTGAGATTGAAAAATTTGTTTTATTTAGGAATATTGCATGATTTTTATGACTATAATGTTGTCGTCTTCATTATATTGACATATTAATATTATTATTATTATACTTATACAATCATGTCACGTGACAAATAATTTAATTTTTTTTGTTTTTCGTTTTTGAGGATACTTTTTCTTTTAAATAATTGAATTTTTTAAATGATATCGAACTATATCGTAAACTCACGTCCTCGTCGAGTTTTTAATTTTCGTCGAGTTAAACGTTGATAATAGTTATTACTGTTATTATTATAAAGTAGTTGTATACTGCAAAATTGATTATTTTACCAGTAGTTAATCAATTAAATTAGCTTTCAAAAAAATTAAATTAAAGAAAAATGGTTTTAATTTATTGTTACACTTCCTACTTTTAGACATAGCCGAAGATCTAAATCTAGTTCGTTTTATGTTACACTCGATGAATTTTATTGGATAATACACGTTTTATTAGACACCGATATTTAAAATTAGCCTTACACGTTAATTTCAATCAATAAAAAAAAATTATAATTTCTCTAATTTAATAGATAAAGCATTTTAAAAATTTAATACAATGTCCAAAATGTAAATAGGCTATGATGACAAACATCACATAACCAAAGCAAAAATCCATTGAAATCACAAATTTCACATGTCAGAATAATAATGTTTAAATATAACTCGGGTCGTTTCTCAATATCTGATAAATATGTTCAAGGTCGCTGAATCTCCTCTGTATTTTCTTGAACCGTTTCCTCGCCACCATCATCACCTTCTTTCTTGCGTCAAAATCTTTCGTAGCTGCTCTGACAGTGAATTTTCTCACATCGTCGATCTCTTCTAGAACCTTCTTCAGCCAAGAAACGTCCAGCTGCCCGATCGCTGCCACCTCAGCAAGAACCGCCATATTGTTCAATTCAGAAAGGACATAGTTGAAGTCGTCACGTATGAGCTTTATAACAACATCGCATACTATCTCGACCAGATTAGCGTTGGAGGATGGATATATACTAAGCAATGAGTTTGCAGCAAAATTTCCATACTTGGCGAAAATAAACCAAAGTATAGGCGCTAAGCTAGCCTTCACTCGGTACCCAAAGACTTCTTCAATATTATCCGGAGCGTAATTACTTGATCGCCCAGGAAGTAGTCTCTGTTTTATCGTGTTCGGTGATTTGCTCCAGGCCTGACTGTTACATATCAGGAGTTTTTCAAAATAGGTCAAAAAAGAGCATCTAGCATAAAAAATAGGAATAATTAAAAAAAAAAAAAAAAAAAAAAAAAAAGAATAAACGGATGTTTTGATACCGAATAGCACACTTACAGTATCGAAGGAGTGTTAAAAAAGTGCCGAGCGAGCCCATGAACCTGTTAAGTACTTCAAGTAAGGTACTGGAATAAACTCGTAAGACTACAAATTTTGAAATAGATACTGATGCAAAAAGAAACTCACCAGATACGACCTTGATTTTCTATTATATACCATATCCGGTACTTTCTCACTTACAGTTAGTACCCTTCCAATGGCAATCTGTAGAAGAAAAGAATATTTTTTTCTCGCATAATGCATAAATTGGAGCATATCTTTCTCCTAATTAAAAAAAAAATTGAAAAAACAAAAAGAAACTCACCATGTGTTTCTTCTCAAACGAACGTTCTCCAGTATTTCGAAACCTACATGTTAGAAACATAGTTTAGAATTCATCATCAGATTCAGTAGTTCTTTATAGGAAACGTAACACATCTGGAGTTATAAATAAAATGCATCATCCGATTCTGATCGTTGAAGTGACCTAACAATTTGAAATTTTTTGTACCATTTACGAGAAGACGACATAATCTGAAACGCTATTAATTACATTAAAAAAAACTTGCATTAAAGAAGAAAACTAAGAGGAACGGTGAGTTTGCTGGTGATAACTGGATTTTCTTTACGACGTTTAAGAGAAGGAACTAGATTTATTACTATTCTCTAATTTTTTCTATCGTAGATGGCAATAATTGTTCAATATAGCTCCAATCTGAAAATTATACATAAAGAAAGAAAAAAAATCCGTGCTCTTTCAACTTGAACAACTACACCTGTTTTTTGTTTTCTTTCAAATATAAAAATGTTCAGTAAGTACCGAGTGGCAGTAACTTACGCATTAGCTGAAGGATAAGAACCCCGAATAGTATTCCCTTGCTCCTGTATATACTGTTCGCATACAAAACTTCCAAGTTATGGCATATTGTGAAAATAGAGGAAAAACAACAGTCAGGTGCACGATACTCACTCCAATGGATAAATTTTCATAATCAACCAATTCCCAGATTTCGTCTGAAAGGTCTAATAAATCTCTGCCACCAGCTTCATAGTCAACCTAATGATAATTCAAGAAATTCGAGTGCCAACAAAAAGGTGAAGCCGTCACATATCATGCTTTACATAATAACGCACTAACATTTTTGCAAGTTCAAAACAACTTATGTTGATTGATGAAAATTAGAGATGACGAGCTTATGAATTTCTAAAGACGAAATTTATCATGCAAAAATGGTAATTATACTCTTGGGAAAAAAAAGAGAGCATTTTTTTACCTGGTGCTTCGATAGCAAGCGGTTAAAAGAAGTGATTGTTCCTGCGAAGTGTCTAGAAAGCAAAAAAGAATCACAGAGTTAGATTTTTCTTAAGAATTACAAGATTAACAAACTTAAGAAGTTGACCAAATCCAATAGAAAGCTCTACTTTGAACTAATCTATGTACAAAAATCACCTCAAGTGAGAGCAACACTAAATTTTTTCGAAAAAAAAAAAAGAGCAACACTAAATACTTTTCCAGGCAATAAATGTAAGCATTTTAATCACGAAAGCATTTTATCTACAACATAAGGACATTTTAATCACGAAATCTCCTACAGCAAAAAATCCATTAAAATTTGCAGTAATCATACAAGTTTAGAAGTACTCACATATAAAGCACGGGGGTAAAAATATTTACCCTGCAGCCAATCAGCTCCTCACCGTAATTTCTCAAGCAGGGACGAATTTCAGCAGCCTGAAAATAAGTAAAAATAAAAGTAATTAGTCCAAGGCAAAAAGAAAGCCATAGATTTTTTTTCTTCTCTTTTTTCTTTTTAAGGAAAGCCATAGATTTGTTTTAAATCAATTGCATTAAACAGATTTAAACCAAGGAAGAGAAAAGATAATGGGACAATGACAAATTGACAAGGTATATCTTAAGATTCAATTTTCGCAAGACCAGTAAAAAAAAATCATGTAGTGAAAGTGAAGATTGTGAAAAGTTTAATAAAAAGAACCCAAACAAGTTCAGCCAACAACAAAACCTCCAAAGAAACTTAAGATCATTTTCAATATCGGAGACGTCATTTTTAAATCGAGTCCTAAAATTCCTTAGAGTATAACCAGCTGTAATATGAAATGTCCAGAAGAAGAAATACTGCCAGAACTGTAAGCAACTGCGAAGCATAAAAGCGATGTTTTTTGCTCCTTTTCGTGAAAAATGAAGTAAAGCTAATAATTTCATTCATTCAATAATTTCAGTTTTGATTATTTAAAAGAAGCCTTCTTTCTTTCTGTACATAGGCCACTAACTCCTCCGTTAAAAAACAGTTAAACCATCGAGAAACAATATCAGACATACATTCCGATTCATCATAAAACAATCAATAATCGAAGAGGATTTGTCATTCATAAAACAATCAATAATCAATAATCAAACAATTTAAAAATAGTTGGCATAAAAACCCAAAAACTAATCAATTTTGACCGTCTAAGGCTAAACATAAATTATGAGGCCAGATTCCAATATTTGCAAGAACTCATTATAGGAAGATGGGTTTTAAGAAGAGATCTCCATACCTGAACGAGATTTTTCTTCAACTCCTCTCCCTCTAAAAAAACCAAACTCGACGAACTCGAAGAAACCATTTCTCTTTCTTCCCAAAAGCACAACACAAAGAAAAACCCTAGCAAACGCAAAGAAGATGTAAATTTTTGAAAACCTATTTCCAAGAATGCCGTGAAAAAATAAATGAGTAGTTGTTTAAATAGGCACACACAATTGACAGAGGGGACTAACGCCATATTACAGTTATTAGGTTATGGTTTTCAATAGTGGAATACAGCTGGGGCACCCCTCTGAATGCTACCCAGCTGATACTGAAGGTAATTATGATGTTTATGGAATGATTCCATTCGGTCAAAGGTAGATTCCAATAATTGTTGTCGGAGATTGTCGTAAACGTGTTTTTGGCAACAGGCTGAAGCTGATCCGAACATTTATCTCGTCTGGTTAACGTCCTTTGACTTGTGCAATTCCAATAGGCGAATCCGGATTTCTCACGTCTTTGCTTGCTGCCGGAGCTAATCCAAACCTAGTTACATCAGTTTCGTTTCTCTTCTTTGATTTATCACTCTATCTATCCGGGTCATTGTCTGTACACGGTTCTATCGAT